CCGCCGCACCGGGGCCAACGTACGGCAGCCTGGGCATGGGCAAGCTCGCACTGCATGGCAGGAGAGTCGCCTCGGAATCCACGGCCTATGCGGATCATCAGACGCTCCAGCTATCCGCACGAACGATCGATTTTGACCCGGCTAAAGTCGCAAGAAGGGACACCGGATGGCAGCCAATGCTCACAACTCTCCTCGAGGCCTGGATCGCAGCTGTAGCAGATGAAAACTGACCGTCGAGCTCAACTTCATCTGCAGAACAAAGTGCGTTCACAGGCCTCCTCGAGCTTCAACGAGAGTTTGACCTCTCCGGAGGATTAAGGTTCGTAGATGGGAGGTGGATCGAATGCGCGCGAAGCGTCGCTGATATGCACTGTCGAAGACTTGAAATGTGACCACTCCAGAGTGTGATACAGAACACAGGCACTCTGTGCGAGGCTCTGCAGCGTTCGAAAATCAGCCTGTGCCACGAAAGGGCCTCCGCGCATTCTCTCTGTCAGAGACACATCGCTCGGCTTTCCGCACTGTGCGTGTCCATTCCCTTCAATGAGCGCCACAAACACACACGCTGAAAGAGTCTGTACATCGAACGCTGGATTGAGCTGCCCTGAGACCGTGAAGTGGGAATAAAAATACAGTTGGACCGTGAGCTGAATGAAAGAAATGAACGACCGTGATGATAAGGGGGGAAAATATGCAATGGCCGCAGAGCAGCACGGGGAAGAGGGGGGTTGAGATTAGCTGAAAAGATGATTGCCAACCATGTATGATGGAGTGGCGGCGAGGAGGAATGCCCATGACCTATATGCGTTGAATGGAAACCGAGGTATATGAAGGAAGAAACAGTCTGCGCAAAGGCGCTGGCGACTAAAAAGTGGGGTTGTGCATGGAAGCGTTAGCGTTGGGCATGAACGCCATCGAGAGCGAGCTGTTGTCATGCACCTCCTGCTTGTTGTTGGACGATGGCATGTGCTGACCGGAAGCGTTGGCGGCAAAGACGCTAAAGTTGTTGAACGTCGAGTTGAGCTCCGAAACAGGCGACAGCAGCGGGACGCTCCATGCGTCCTGGCTCAGCAGCGAGCTAGGCTGACTGCTTCCAGAGGGAGACAGGGCCAGAGGCGAGATCTCGCGCGAGAGCTTGCCTTGAGGAGCCGCAAAGTAGGAGTGTTCGAGCAAGGGCACCTCTGCGGGGACGGACGAGTCGCCGGTGCTTGAGCTGACGCTGCAGCTGGAAGCGGCGCTGAGCTCCTCGCCCAAAGCCTCGGCCTTGACCAGACCCGAGCCGACCAGGCGGGTGGGAGGCGAGAGCGGTCCGAGCGAAAGCAGGCCGTCCGAGTTGGAACGGCTGGCTGGACCGGCCAAGGGCACGTAGTCGGAACCCTCCGACTGCCCGATCTCGCCGGTGTGGAATCCGCTCCAGGTTGCCATGGATGCGGGCATCTGCGACTGCACGTGTGCATTCCACGCCACGATGCCCGTAGCATCGGGAGACATGAGTTCGCTGGCAAGCTGCTTGATGTCCGTCTTGACCTTTTCGGCACGCTTGCCTGCTACCTTCTGCATGAGCGCCGCCGTGGCCACCTCGGCAATCGACGGCCTCCTAAAAGCATCGGCGGTGCCGACGGGCAGGTGGATCGACGATCGCCTTCGCAGGGCCGCGAATGGCAGCTCCGATGCGAATGTGTCCTGCGTGGGGAATGGGACGCTGGCAAAGTCAAAGTGGCCGTGGGGAGCCGGCAGATCCACAGGTCGGACATGTGCCGAGGTGGGAACCATGGTCGGCATGCCGGTCAGATCGACGAGGCCGAGATCGAAGTCGGCTTCGGTAGCGCTCGCGCGTCCCGACGGGACGTGGGGTACCGAGCCGTCCGAGTTGAGGCCCATGAGATCGACAACGTGAGGCGATGCAACCGTTCCGTGTTGAGGGCCGGCATGACCAGGCGTCATGGGTTGCTGAACGAAGAAGTGACCAGCGGCAGCCGGAGGCATGATGGGGGCCGAGAGGGGACCCGAGATGAATTCGGCGGGAATGCCCTGCATCATGGCATGCTGTGCCTGGGGAAGCGCCAGCGCTTGGTAGTAGCGGTAGGCCTGCGCTGGCGTCGGCGGCTGGGAGACGGAGGCGTGTTGGAACGATGAGGAGTCTTGTACCGGGGAGGCGAGGGGGCCCATTCGGTGTTGCATGGTTGTGGCCTGGGTGTCTGAGATGCCGCGACGTCGGCGTGGCCCGAACTGGGAAGCGATCATCTGGCCCTCCATGTGAGGGTCGGGCATCGAGAGGAAGAGCGGTGCCAAATTGGCCTGCGATGGATCACCATAGTGTGCCATGGGCGCAGGGGGAAGGCCGAGCGATGCGCCAGCGTGGAGCATCGACAGAGGCGACTGGCCAGCAAAGATGCCGAGCGAGGCCATTCGCGCCGCCTTCTTTTCCTTGTTGCGGCGCTTGCGCTCTCGCGACATGAGGTTCTCGAACTCGGTCACCGGCTCGTACTCGCACTCTCGGCGCAGTCGAACGCAGGTTGCGCACGATGGCTGCGCTCCGTCACACTTGATTTTCCTGGAGAAGACAAGGCGACCGAGGGCATGGATGGTCAGTACACTGGCTCGGCAAAGCCGTTGGCCGACGTGAGTGTCGAGATCGAACGCACCTGTGGCGGCAGTGGATACACGCCATGTTGATGCGTGCTCTTGTGCGGGACTTGCCATCTTGGCTGCCGGAGGGGGAATGCGCTTCTGCTGGTGAGTGTTCGGGCAGATTCTTGTCCGACGTACGTTTCCTCGCAAGCACGGGGCGAGCAGGATGGCTAGGGTCGTATGGCGAGATCATGCTGCTGTCGTTTGGCGGGGGGGAGAACACCCGTCCTTCAGCTGTAGTGTCTCGACGGCAGGAATGCGGCGCTGACTGTACGCTTAATCGCACAAAAGGTGGGCGATGTGTGGTGAGTGTGTCGAAGAGACGGCGGAGATGTAGCGGACGGACGCTGGTAGCGAAGATGGTGCTGCTCGAGAAAGGCGATGCGTGCGTGTGATGCTGAGATGGAGGGAGCGCGTACCAGGCAGGAGGGAGGTCTTAGGAAGGGAGGGCAATTCGGGTGGCGTTGGCGGAAGTGGGCGGAGTAGTGTGGATATATACAAGGCGGCGACTCCCCTGTCCTATCTGTGCGGAAACAAAGGCAGCGGAGGAGGACGTAGAGTCGATGCACGAGGCAGGTCGGAGGCAGGAACACCAGCGTGAGCAGAGGATTAGCCTAGTCTCTGCTGCAAGGCCGGAAAGACATGTGACAAGCAGACAGCAGTGGCGGGGGGCCCTGGGCAAGTGCAGGAAGGCGAAGCATTCGAAGACCCCAGGGACCAGAAAAATGTCAATGATTGGCCAGCATGACGAGGCTGAGCGGCACCCCAGCGCGGGCGGAGAGCGATCAATCGAATGAGAGCAGATTGGATCCTCGACGGCCGAGCGTATGGCAGACTGTTATCCTGGGCGCCACGCACGCCCAAGACGATGCGCGACCAAGCAGCCGAGGATGGCACAGGCGACATGGGATGGCGGACCAAGCGATACCGTATGAGACCGTCCAGCCGAGCGAGAGAGAGAGAGACCTGGCTCAGCACGGACGCAGCTGTCGAATGCTGCACAAGGCCACGCAGGCTGTAGCCGCGTGCAATTCAAGCACCGAAATTCCGCTCGCAAACGGATGCCCCCGTCAAGCAGTCGGCCCCCCAACGTAGTCCGGAAAATCTCTGCCTTTGCAGCGGGTCGGCTTTTCAAGAAAAGAAGAATAAAATAAAATAAAATAAACAATAAAATAAAATAAAATAAAATAAAATAA